CTCTAAATATAAAATAGTTTTGTTATTTTACTAACATTTTTGTATATCATTGTCGCCATAAAACATCGTAGACTCATAATCTATAATTTAATTGTTTTAATACTTACATTTTACCAGCACAACATTTATACAATTATTATGTATGCAATGAAATCGATTTTTGAGGCTTTGAGGGGTAGATGTTGTAGAATGGAATTGTAATCGTAGTAGAATAAAATACAGACAACAAAAATTGTTACCTATCAAAGACTTAAGCGAGTCACAGACTATGCAAATACTATAATATTTTATCTGCGTATAAAAACTTATAATTAAAAAAATATTATTTAAAATTACAAATTATAATTATCTGAAAGTATCACACACTAAGTAAATACAATAATATACTTAATGATATATTTATCTGCACATAAAATCCCATGCCATATTTGTATCTACAGATGTTATCAGATGGTAGATGTTAGCAATATTTGTATGAGCAGATAATATTGTCATTATCTTTCGATATTTGTTAGTGCTTACGGATAATTTACGATAAAATACATATTATCTGCACAGTGTGTATTGAAGTTTATAGTAAGCGATATTGAAAGATATGCGCTCAGGTACAGATATCCTATCGTATCTGCGTAGTGTGTGACTCGATTTAAACATAAAAACTTGTGTATGTTAAAAATTACTTCATTTCGATGTAACTGATTTATTTCCATCGAAATTCATTCACCAAACCTTTTTCGATTGCTTAAAAAGTAGGTTTTGCTACACATAGTTTATTTGTATTAAATAAGAAAAAACGTAGAGTAATTATTGCATACAAACTGCACAATGCACAGGCCACCTCTCATTTATGAAATTATAATCTTACAATGTCAGAAATAACTACATAATTGGAAGATTTATATACGACTATTAGTTAATAACAATTCCATAAGCAACTAATATGTTATGCAAAAAGAAATTAACTTCAACGCAATTGTTAAAAGAAAAATAGTAAGTACTTAAAACAAGTCTAAATAGTAAAATTAGTCATGAATTGGGATGTCATTTAGCACAAAAACAAAAGCACTACGTGATACGTTGATAAAAAAAATTACGTGTGGCACTCGGTGACTGCCGCGGTAAAGCTATTGCATAGCATTTTTTATCAACTTATGCAATTATAATTATTTATTTATTTTATTTATGCAGTTAAGTCTTTGATATTAAATCAAGTTACACTTTTTGAGCGTGGTGACCGATAAGAAAACAATTTTTTTTCTCTTGTTGAATAAATGAGAAGTTAATATTGTTTAAAATATTCTAATATCTTACAATACATGTAGGTTATTCAGGAATTTTTATCATTGAGTTAGCAGCTAGTGTACACGCATACGTCTAGTCGCACGCACACAAACACCGTGCCGAAATCTGCCGAGTGCCGAAGTCTGCCGAACTGAAACGACGTTAGACGATGCACGGCTTTCAACGCCACACCTCCGTGCCCGTCGGAGTGGGGAGCGTGAGGTTTTTTTCGTTACGGAATTTCTGGATTCGGTCCCCGCGCTCAAGGCCCGCGATAGAAGCTATGCAATAGCTTAAAAACTGTAGCTATCGGTTCTTGTACTATCTGTGTTATCGGTTACATGCTACGTTGATTTGTGTTTGCTACGCCGTAGTTGTGGATTAGCTACTATGTTGATGCAAGAAATTATGTAATAATACACCTTCTTCAAAACTTTTTAAATAATTGTTGGAAACTACGAGTATTCTTTTCAGTCGAATCAAAATTATTTTTACATACATCTGAAGCTATGCAGACTACTTTGGTGGGAAAAACATTTCTTACAAATTCTACTGTTATAAAAGGAATTTTCCCAAATGACAAAAGCGCCTGTATCGTATGGGAGTATTTTTTTTTCATTCATGCCGTTTCGTACTTTTTAAATGAAAAACACCAGTGGTAGATTCAAAATGCTGGCCAGGTTTTCACTTGTTTGATGCAGATTTTTATAATATATCTATTGCTGCTTAAGAGAGTATGTCTGGGCGGCAAGGCATTTGATTTGAACTATTCTTGTCACGTCGGACTAATTAATAATTATGCTTATGTAAAGTTTAAGAAATCATCATCTTGTATTTCCCCTCTTGGAGGTTATATTCTGGATGGCAAGTCATTTGAAGAATAGGTTTTCAACAGAACTATTACTGTCGCACTCTGTGCTACCGACTGAGCTGTACCTACAAACGAGAGGGACAACTAATTATAACGAAGTTTAACGAAATTGCTATACCTAATGTTAAACAATCTCTCCCCGCGGTGCGATGAAATAGGGAAACAGGACGCGGCCAGTCGCCTCTTTCGATCTCTGTCGTTTTTAAAGGCAAGTAAGTTTTATTGCACCGCGGGCAGCGAGTGATTAATATTATTATACTTATATAATATCCCTACCGTTAGTCTACTCTTTGCTCTTCTCCAAAACCGATCCGATTTTTTTTTTCTAAGTACATTATAAAACGTTTGGTATGTCAGTATGTTTTATTTTTACATGTTGTGTTTGATAAAGTTGATTGCTGGATGCCTTGGCAAATTATAGTTATATTACAACTTATGTAAAATAACTTATTTTATTTTATTAAAATAATTAATTTATGAAAAAAAAACAAAGCAGGAACACGACTGTGGTGGATACAGGTTGTATTATTAAAAACATATTTGCTCTATTGTCATTATCCACGGAAATAACAGATGAATATGTTTTTTTGGGCTAAAAGCCTCCCGTATATCCTCTTACGTCTTTATTCGCTTTTCTTTGTCATATGGGTGTTTCTTAAATATACATACAAGAATATGCATAATAGTGGCGCCCTTACAAAATGCTTTCTATCTATACCATACAATTACTACGTGTATACAATATACCTTTAGTAAGCCTGATTTCTTTATATAATAAATATACTTTTAACTGACCAATTATTATAATTAAGGAAGAATTCACATTTTATTACATGTCAAAAATTTATCGGAAATCGATGTAAAACACGCATGCATTAAAAGTAGAGCCTCCGAAGCACCAAGCAGATTGAAATAAAAAGCTACCTATTTATTTTATATTATTAGTTACAATTATTACACACATCGTGCTGATTTCAATAACAAGACATGAAACGGTAATTGAATTATGTATACGTTTGTGTAAAACACCTTGTAATCTACTTAAAAAAGATCGCCGAATCTCTATTTGATATTATGTATAATATTAGGTTGAAGAAAAAAAGTTTGAAAAAAATTAATAACATTTTTTTAATTATCACAATTTTTTAATTTCGAATTTTGGGAAATTTCATTGTTATAAATTAGATCTAAAATTTATGAATCGTTTGGTTAAAAATACAATTATAGATGTTAAAATTACGAAATTTTTCATTGCATGATTATATTATATTATATTATAAAGAAATGTAATTTTTCGTAAAAGTTTTTGTAGGTATGTTTGTATAATGTGGCGACGTAAATGCATCTTAAAATATTATGTATAATTAGAATTTTAGCTGTTTTAAGGATTTCGTTGATATAAATTTGTGTGTCATACACATTTTTACTTTATTTATGAGAATTGAAACATTCTAAATAAAAATTCAAATATTTAAGATTATATACCAGTATGCAACAGTTTTACTTAACTTCATTTATTTTTTATTAATAATAGCTTAAAATTGCCAGAAATAGAACTTTTTTAATAAACTAACTAATTTAAAACCAATTTATGTAATTTGTATAGTTACGCTCTTCCCATTACGGTAAAAATAATAAAATTGCATCTGTATTATGTATTTAACTTTTTAAATTTGCAAAATTTTTGTATCAAAACGATGTACAATGTTAACTAAAAGATTGTGTTACTTACTTCCCCAATAAATTCACTTTATACATTTTTCTATTTATTTTTATTAAGTAAACACTCACACTCACTCGCTTGCTTCAATAGCCCAATGACCCCGAAGTGAGGCTCGGCTTCCGACACGAGAACACGCCACTTTTTTCTGTTTTTTTGCGAGTTTTCGACAGTTGTCATCAGTTTGAAGCGCGCAGGTGAGCTTTCACCCAGTCGCTGCAACAATATATGGGTCGAACAACTGGACGTCGGCTGACCCAAATATGCTCTCCTTGTTCTCCGTTTCTCTCCCATTCGTTCTACGTTACCAAGTCGCTGGAGGCGCTTTGCTGTTATTCCTTCGTTGATATTTGGCTCGGCCATGAGTATATCTAATTCGGGGTTTTTATGTTTTATGGTATCCTCCAACTGCCATCTTCCTTCGAAATGAGCCAAATCCCATTCTCCGAATCTTCCTCTCTGCTACTAAGATGTTGTTCTCTTCCTTCTGTGTAAATGTCCAGGCCTCACAACCGTATGTCAGAATTCATCCAGTTCCTCGATCCCGTAAACAGTCACATAATAACAATTGTAATACATCTAGGTCATTGAGTTTGCACCGGTTATTTCACCACGCTATCAAAGTCAAAAAAAATATATATATATATTGATTTTGACGTTTATATATATATATATATACGTCAAAATTTTTGCTGTTATTTCAATGGTAGAAATAAATAAATAATTATATTCAGTTGATTTTTACGCAAATTCTTCAGGCTTATATGAATTAAATTCCTGCGACATATGATGGAGATACAATCTCGTATGTACGCCAGATGTAAATTACACTGACCTGCCGCGGGAAGTGACGTCAAAGGTAAGTAAGCCTGTATACTTGATACAATAGCAAATCCTTCCTACAATAGAAGTTCGAAAACAGTGGTCTAATACAGGCTAATAAGAAGAAGGAGATAAATATAGTTAAAATTGGTACCTCTCCTGCTGAAATTACACTATAATACTTAACAGGGGTAGTTCTGTAAATATTCAAATAATGAAATTGCAAAATAAGGAATTGTCAAATGATTTGATATTTAAAAAATAGTAACTTAATAACAGGAAAAAATAATTAAAAATACAGGAAAAATGGCGAACGGTCGAATGGTTAACACGTACTTGTGAGTGCTTTTCGGTATTTGCTTAATTTTCCTTAATTCCTTCATTTTGTGGTAGTGGATTCCTCTGTTGTAAGTAGATTACGTTTATAAGATATAGTTATTTCGAACAATACACTCAATTATGGGTGACGAAACGGGGTCTCCCCGTGAGAAACCCCCTGACCCTCCCGATGTAGACATGTGCTTTGGACTAAGTGATAATAATGATTGTGATCGTGGTAAAAAAAGACATGCTGAGACTCGAACATATGATCCAATATTATATAAAAAGAATTCTGTAGTTGATTTAACAGCATCAATAAATACTATATATAAACATCCCTGCCTAGAACAAAATCTTAGAATGTATGGAACAAATGATCAAGGCCCTTTCATTGTCCACATCTCCCGGTCTTCGTCAGACCCTAGATTAGGGCTATCACTTCGACCTATTATTAAAATAGGTTTATGCTTGTCTAAAAATAATATAGGAAACATTAAAAAAGGAGGAGTCAAAAGTGTTGGTAGAAATCGCATCTCTATTGAATTCTGCTCAGCAGATGAGGCTAACAAATTCCTTAATAATTCATTGCTCGCAAAAGAAAAATTGATTGCAACTATTCCATCTTATAATGTTTCTCGAATGGGTGTCATCCGCGGTGTCCCTGTGGATTGGTCAATGGAAGAACTTGCAGAAGCTATTGAGCTTCCCCCTGGTTGTGGTAAAATCCTAAAAGCTCGCCGTCTTCAGAGAAAAACTTTTACTGAAGGGTCATCATCCCCTATATGGGTTCCTACTCAATCTATTGTTTTGACATTTGAAGGCCAGATACTCCCCAAATACGTACATGCATTCTTCACATCCCTTACTGTTGAAACTTATCAACTCCCCACCATCCAGTACAAACTGTATTGTCGATTTGGCCACGTAGCTGATCAATGCCGCTCTAAACCATGCTGCTTCCGTTGTGCCCAAGAACATACTGGAGCAAGTTGTTCTGTTCCTGAAAGCGAAGCCACTTGTCTGTTATGCTCCAAAAATCACTTTGCTAATAACAAAAATTGTCCAGAACACCATAGACAGAAATCTATCAAAGTTATGATGTCAGAACAAAATGTATCCTATATAGAAGCGCCAGCCAAAATCCCATCTATTCGTTTGAACAATCTTCAAAAACCATATTCTGAAGTGGCCTCTACTCAGCCTTCACCTACTTCTACTACCTCCTTCAACCTCCCCATCATGTCACAGGCATATAGAAAAACTGTTTTCCAATCTCCCCGCCCCATCCCTTGAATCCCCAAGGGATATGACCAACAAGCCCATCAAAGAATAGTTGCAGACTGCCCATCCTCTACTCCAAATGGATGCGCATTATCCAATACACAATCAAATATCTCCAAATGAAAATCTTGTTGAATGCCTAATTTCTCTCCTCAATAATTTAATTTTGAAAATGTCAGACTCACTACCGAACAACGTTGCAGAAAAAAATTTTAATCTCGCTAGTTTAATAGATAATATAAATGACTCAAACAAAAGATCCTCGATCTTCTACAGTGGAACTGTAGAAGCTTGCACCCTAAAAAATCAGAACTCATCTTCCTAATAAATAAACATTCAATCTCGGTTGCTTCTATTTCTGAAACATGGTTCCTTCCTGGCTCCAAATTTCGCTTGCAAGGCTTTACCTGCCTCCGTGAAGATAGAAATGATGGTTATGGTGGTTGTTGCTTACTCATAAAAAAATCGCTACCTTTTTCTCAAATTACACTCCCTCCTCATAGCCAAAACATCAATGCTGTAGCTGCAAAAATTGTAGGAATCAACATTATTTCAATATATATCCCTCATCCAAATACTCACTTAATTCAAGAACTATCCTCTCTCTTTTCTTTGTTACCTCCCCCTTTTATTATTACCGGTGATTTTAATTCACATCATGTATCTTGGGGGTCACATTTTTGTGATGTATTCTCTTCAGAACTTATTCAAATTTTTGAAGATATCAATGCTTGCATCATTAACAATGGTTCCCCTACTCATAGAGTATATCCAGGACTAGATCCTAGGTCTGCTGTCGACCTAACAGCTTGCTCTTCTAGTCTAGCCCCTCAGCTTTCTTGGAAAACTCTCAATCAAACATATGGAAGTGATCACTTTCCCATTCTTATTACCAAACCCTATGCGGTTATTCCTTTTCCCTCCACTACGCCCCTCCTTAAATATAAGCTCCAAAATTCAGATTGGACTAATTTCACCAAATTCTTAGATTCTAAATTTACCCAAATGCAGGTTGACTCCTCAACGAACCCAATAACTTCTTACTCTTTATTGGTACAATATATAACTGAAGCAGCTGACTTATTTATCCCAATCAAAAAACCCTACAGCAAGAATCTTGCCTCCCCTCCATGGTGGGATGCTGAATGCACCACTATGATTAAAAGGAGAAAAGCTGCAGAAAAACTTTACAATCACTGTATGACAACCGATAATTTTATACTATTTCAAAAAACCTCTGCTCAAACAAGGAGACTTCTTTCCAAAAAGAAAAAAAAGTGGATGGAAAAAATTTTGTGAATCCTGGTCCCCTAATACACCAGTAACAATAGTTTGGAAAAATATAAAAAAATTTCGTGGATCTCTTACTTCTGATAGCAACATTTCTGATAACTCTCTATCATGGTTAGAAGTCTTCTCTGATATGCTAGCTCCTCCTTTTTGTTCCTAATGAAAATGCAATATGTCCACCGATTCCAGTCCCGTCTAGCATCAGCAATAATGAGATAATCTTCTCATTGTCTGAACTACAGTCTGTGTTATCTTAAACTAACTACAGTTTGTGTTATCTGTGTTGGCTTAAAATCCTCTGCTCCAGGAGAAGATGGCATACCCTATGCATGTTTATGTAAATTAAGTCTTAAGGGAAAATTAATTCTTCTCCAAATTCTGAACAATATCTAAATATCTTCTAATATTCCTCTGTCTTGGTCAAACCAAATTGTTATACCTATCCTTAAACCCGGAAAAGATCCCAAAGAAGCTTCTTCATACCGCCCAATTGCTCTTTCATCTACTTTTTGTAAAATTTTAGAACATTTAATTAAAAACAGACTTGAATGGTTTTTGGAACATAATAACATCCTTGCAAAAAGTCAATTTGGTTTTCGAAAAGGGAAAAGCACATTAGATAGTTTGAGTATCCTAACTACAGATATTAGGTTGGCTTTTTCTAAAAATGAATACTTGGTGTTGTACAAGTTGTTTCCTTGATATATCATCTGCCTATAACAGTGTTCTCCTTCCGGTGCTCAGGCAGAAAATGCTCCATCTAAACATCCCTGCGAAGACTGTTCACTTCATTTACAATCTATTCATGGGACGATCTATCAAAATTCGCAATAAAGGAATCTTAAGCTCGCCCAGAACAATTTGGAAGGGTCTACCACAGGGCTCAGTTTTAAGCCCTATTCTTTACAATATTTACACATATGACGTGGAACATTCTTCGTCTTTCTGTGACATATTACAATATGCAGATGATCTTGCTATCTATGTAACGGCTCCTGATATTCTAACTGCCTCCCATCATCTTAACAGAGGCTTATATTATCTTAATCAATGGCTTACTGACCATGGCCTCTCTCTTTCACCTTCTAAAAGCAAAATAATAACATTTAGTAGAAAACGTGTTATCCCTACTATTGATATCTCATATAATGGTGAATCTATTCCAGTTGTTAACAAAGTAAAATTTTTAGGTATTTACTTAGATTGTCACATGACCGGTACTGCTCACTTTAATTACATCAGTGACAAATGTGAAAAAGGTGTTAACATTCTTAGATCTCTCTCTGGCGTATGGTGGGGTTCTCACCCCATGTGTCAAAAATCCTATACAATGCCATCATCCGTAGTCACTTCGACTATGGTTCTTTTCTTCTGGAGCCCTGCAACAAATCGGCCCTTAGTAGGCTTGAAGCTATCCAAACAAGATGTTTACGTGTTATCACAGGCGCAATGAAATCAACTCCTAAAAATGCCTTACAAGTAGAATGTGTTGATCCCCCTCTCTCTTTACGAAGACAGTATTCTAGCTAATAGATTTATCTCAAAAACTCTACAACTATCATCTCACCCCTTACATCGTAAACTAGAATCCTTGCTACTATTAGTTGTAAACAACTCCTATTGGTCTAATAAAAGCTGGCCCCCTATTCTTAAATCTCTTAATAGATTAAAAAATATTGAGTATCCTTGTGTTACATCCCCAATTCTACCCTATTTTGAAACCAGCTATGATGCTATATTACTAAATCCTAAAATCGCTCTGAATTTAAACATTAATAAAAATTCTCCAACTGCAAACAGAACTTTCTATAACCTAGTGGCAAAAAAAAAATGGCCTGATTGGCTATATATTTTTACTGATGCTTCCAAATTTTCTTCATTCAAATGTGTCGGTTCTGCAGTCTGGATTCCCAAATATAAAATTGTCCTGACCCCTCAGGCTTCTGTTTTTACAGGGGAAGCTGTAGCCATATATGAGGCTATATCCTACATTTTTTCCCATAAATTTCCTAAATCAGTTTTATTTACTGATTCAAAAAGCTGCCTAATGTCGTTACAGAGCAATATATCTAAAATGAAATCCATCTCCCCATTGATACTGAAAATTAAAGAACTCATACTAAATTGTAATAAGAGTGGGCTTGAGGTAGAGATTGTGTGGATTCCTAGTCATTGTGGCATAGAAGGAAATGAACAGGCTGACTCCTGGGCCAAAGGAGCGGTAGATACTGGCTGCCCTTCTCATTTAATGAATTACTCTCATGATTTAACATCATTAGCTCAAATTGAATTAAAGAATTCTTGGGACAGAGATTGGAGCATATCCAGGCATAGTAAAGGTAGCTACTTTGGTAAAATCCAACCCCAAATTCCTCCAAAACCTTGGTTTTTCAAATTTAGGTTTCTGAACAAACAAATCACATCTACAATCTGCCGTTTAAGGCTCGGGCATGTCTGCGCTCCTGTATTCCTAGCTAAAATTAGAATCAAAGATCATTCCCTCTGTGAATGTGGTCTGGATGAAGGTTCCCCAGACCACATTTTCTTCAGTTGTCAAAATCACCCAATTTCTTTATATGACATCCTTCCCAAAACAATCCCTCGACCAGTTAATATCAACTCCCTCTTAACTATCCCCGATTCCATATATGTCAATACAATCTCAAAATATATTCGAATGTATAATATTAAAGTATAATTATTGTGTACTAAATTTAGCTTAACCTAATTCTATATTCCCTGCCCAGGCTAATACCCTCCTATAACTAGATTTTTACTCTATATTGTGTGGTCCTCAATTCATATATTTAGTTGCTTTGTTTTTATCCACATTCTCACCTAATAACCACTAACTCCTTTTCCACCGGAAAGCCTCAAGACAAGGTGTGACAGACCGAAGACCGGACATTGGCAGAATTATTGTGATATTATCACAATACCAAGGGCCATATAGTTATTTAAAAAAAAACTTAATAACAGTAGCTATACCTAACTATAAAGTAAAATGTTAATATACAATGCATAATTTCTTTTAAACATAGATTCTGATTGATAAATAGCAATGGCTTTAGCGTGACTAAGTTCAACCAGTAATAATTAGCATGGACACATTTATTTGTAAAAATTATTAAAGATTTTTTCTATACAAAAAACGGTTTTTAAAATGTAGTTTAATAACAATGAAGATGTAGGATTGAAATGTTTAGGTACTTAAAGAATAAAGACTTGGAACTAACACAACAAGGCACTATTTCTGTAATACAGATGATGACCTGGTTCAGGAGATAGAGCTTAGTATTTAGCTAAATTTAAAGGGATATGAGGTGGTCCAAGGGCCTTCCTAGCAACAATTTATCCTACTGTCACTACTTGATACGTACTTTCGTATTTTTGACAAATTTAGCAGTGTACCCCCCGTTTTACCAACCGTAATCGGCTGAGCCCAGTTTTAGCCTACTAAAGCTGAGTGCTACGGCTAAAAGCTGAAGTGTGTATCCACTATACACACTTAGCCGTCTCATTGCCGTGTCATATAGGACAAAAACTGGTCTCAACTAGTAAAGCAGAGCAGCATTACAAGTGCGAGGGCTTTGTCTCACCAACTCATCTGCTCACAGCGTGGTGAATATAGGTAAAACTCTGAAGGTTCCGTGCCACTTGGTGCATCCATGAAAGGTCCTATATTCAGCAGTACCTCTAAAATGGTTGATGAAGGATCCCACGAAAAAAATTTCAAAATGTCCTATAAAATCCAAGTATGTGGTAGAGCCACGCTGCATCGTAATATTATACGCTGCACATTTGAGAACAATGAACTTGATATTTTCGGTTGAATTGACCGGAAAAGGACCAAGTTCGCACAGAATACCAGCGTGAAATAGCAGTATAGTGCTTGTTGACCCTTTTACTCACAATCAAGCATTTCATATTAGTCCTCAGGGGTGTAACGAATCTACATTTTGATTCTTAATGGAGAATAAAATGTACATAGGTATATGGACAAATCATGGCTTACCATCACTTGGATTATGAATTATGTGCTCGTCACCCTCACTTGTATTAAAAAAAACATTCAGTTAGATGACATATATATAATAACTAAATAATCCACCATTTCATCAAGTGTTCATAAAAGCAATTTTCAGCTGCATATTAAATTTCATGACTTATTTACTATTAATAATTTGAATTTAAGCATAATTTAAATATTAAATTGTAATTAGTCGCGACTCCACAATGAGCGTGTAGATCAAAGATTAGTGAATTACATTTCAGGCAAATACAGGGTTTGATTATAATTTATCATACTTGAATCTATGTATTCGTATTTTGAATTCAAGTTGATACAGAGTTTTTCCCATGCAGTTGAAAATGGATGGTAGCTTCCTAACGCTTTTAAAAAAGTTTTGCTTAGCAGGAAGTGTTTCAGGGCTTAAGTATTTTTATTTGTATCCAGATCGTATTTCGAGGTATTTTATACTACAATTATATATATATATATATATACTACTTATTGAAAGTCACTCTTATGTTTAATTACCCAAAGAAAAACCTGTCCTGGGTAGAACCAGCAAGTAACCCAGCGGGACCTTTTTAATAAATCATGCTTACAATCATATTTGTTACACAATTAATCAACACAAAAGAAATTAGAAATAGCTTGGTGATCTCATTCCCAGGGGTTACTATCATCAATAAATTGCTTTTTTGTTATAAATTCAGTTTTTAAAGTTTTTGAATCCTGAACTTTGAGGCAGAATTTACTGTTTATTATGCCTGTTTTTTTTAATTACAATTATATTTGGAGATTATCTGAGAAAGGCTGTACAATACCCTTCACACCCTGGAATCCAGCTGTCTAAAGGTATATAAGATGGAAGTGCAATATACATTCCAACTTAGTGTTCAAACGTGACGGTGAAGGTTCTATATTTTTAATTGGTTGCAGGTGTTCATGGCTGCAACAGCCATACTTCCGATGCCATGAGGTGGATAGCCAATAGTCACACCATCAGATAGACTGCTAATTTGTTGGTCTCTTCAATGTTCTGCAGTGGACTTGTCAAGGCCTGTAATGATGATGATTAGGAAGTCGCTGCTGCCCATCTCCTGATTTATTTCCCTTTGCCGCCTAGCACGACGCCCACGAGATGATATGGGCATGTGGGGTAGTGGATATTCTTATACCGCCACAAAACTGTAAAATGATTTATGTGTAGAAAATACTTTAAATGTTTCTTTACAGATGCTTCTGGGCTTTGACAATGCTTTTGACTCTGTGCACTGCATGCGTTCTAAGCTTGCTGCTGTACGACCGCTTTGTTGAGATGCCAACGCGCATCACCATTGAAAATCAATACGAGTCACTCCACAACTTGCCTTATCCCGCCATCACAATATGCTCGCCCAATCAGGCCACAATTAGCGCATTGGATCATTTCAACAAAACCCTCGTGTAAGATTAATATAAAATAAGTGTTAGACTAAATTTTTTTTAATTAGAAGTAAGTGTAACAAAACGAGCACACAGTTCTCCTGATGGTAAATGTTTACATGGAGCATGCTGTTTTGAATACAGCATTCTCCATGTGAACGTCCATTACCATTACAGTTCACAGCGTTTCAAGTCCACTGCTGAACACAGGCTCCTCCAATAGATTATAGTTGCCATGCTTGGCAAGCGAGCTTTCTATTCTTATTTTTATTTAGTTGTTATTTAACCTCTCAAACTTAGCATTATAGAATCAATATGAAATTTTTTATCTTATAGTGCAATAAAAAGTTAGTTATCTAATATAATAAATCTATATATAATAAATAAGATATTTATTTATAATCTACGTTCATTTCGTACGCCATTTTCGCGTGAATGTTATTGTGTTGATTTTTGAATTTCTCTAGTGTTTTATTAGTGTTATAGTAAAGTGTATTATTATGAAATTGTAATGAAAGTTTTTCGTGAATATAATTTATCTTTTTACGTAAATAATTTTGAGTAATATATATTGAAATAATTGTGATTTTCACGCTGCCGACATTCACACGTGGTAGAGCCATACTGCAGTTATATTAGTAATATAGTCGTAGCACGAATGGGTCGGCTCGACCGGGGAAGGACCACGCTTTCACAGAATACCAGCGTGAAATAGTAGCTTAATGCTGCTGTATTTCGTACGGTGAGTGTAGAGAACCGGAGACCCTGTTTACTGGAAACGAGGCATTCCATCTCAGACCTCACGGGTGACAACGCATCTGCATTTTGAGGATAGATGTAGATGTCTATGGGCCGCAGCAACCACTTACCATCAGTTGGACTGTGTGCTCGTTTGTCACCTTATTCCATAAAAAAAAATCGCTTGAAATTTTTTTTTGTTATCAAAATACAATAAAATCTTTTTGTAATAAATTAAAACCTGACTTTGGTTTAGACCACAGGATAGAAAATTTTGTATAGATTTTATAATTCCAAACTTCTTCATAGAAAAGTAGTCTCTAAATATAGGTTTTAATGGTTTTAAGTTATGTGGGTGGGTGCGTCGCATGCGACCGCTCGGGATTTGCCGGGCGCATGCGACTGCATGGGATTTTTATGGGGATTGAAGGGTTAAAAGATGCTGCCCATCCCCTGTTTCAGTTTACCTCTATCGATTTTCACGATCCCCAGGGGATGATATGAGTTTTTTATAGAATAACGGTGACGAACGAGCACGCAGTCCATCTGATACATTCAGTCTATACTACGCAAGGCGGCGCGACTGCGATAATATGATGCATCAGCCATTGCGGCTGATTGCTGATGATGCCACATTAAAGTGGTATTATTTTCATTAAGACTACGGCACTACGAATGTCAAAACATTCTAATTCCCTACTGTCTTCTTCATCAATCCGTAAAAGTCGGCTTGAAGTGATGAGAATGGCACTTTTCATACCTTAATTACCCAAGAACTAATAGTAGGCTTATTGAAATCGAGGTTCTAGTATTCAAAAGAAGACGTATTATACATGCAAAATTACAATTGTGTAAGACTAATAGTTTTTGAGCTATGTGGGGTTCGGAAATGGTTCTAAATGGTTCGTGTGAACATTATCGGTGCGTTACTCCGTTGTTTTCATGAGGAAATCTATGGGGGAGGCCAATGTTATTATATATTTTGATAGGTTATTTTAATAAATTAATGAAATTTTTTAGACATTTTAGGTTTTCTCATGGTATTATTTCCTACATGGGAGAGTATGTGGTGCTTAAAATAGCACTTTATACAAATTATACAATTAACAATAAAAAATAAATTATATATTTTAGTGTTAGTATAAAATAAAATACTAAAAGAATTTAACTTTTACAGAGACGGAAATCTAACATTAGACTTAAAAAAAGTGGTTCCACAGCTTCTGGACTTTAGTTTTGGTACTTTTCTCTTGGGAAGCATAAACATTAATGAGCTAAAGCATTTACAAGACGTTATTGAACGTAATCGCTACAGTGTGAGTATTAGTAATTGTATCTAAAGTCTGACATTTACCAGTAAGCAAACATCATTATCTTCTCAAAGGTGAAGTGTCAGAATTAGCTTGTACAGTACTGACCTCTATATATTCAAGTATATAGAGGTCCGCGCTGTGCAGGTACCAATACCTTTATATATTTAACTGACACCCACGTGAACTAGCATGAAGTTAAGATTTGACAAATAATCGTATTTTAATTCGAATAGACGCAGTAGGATTTTATGAGCTCTAGTGTCCACTTACAATCAGACAAAATAGTAGCCTGTACTCTCACGTTATAACAAAAAAATACGAAAGAAAAACACTATTAACCACTTTTAAAAGCCTTAAAAGTTTAAATAAAATCTCTTTTTTTATAGGATAGGCTGACAAACGAACACACAGTCCACCTGATGATAAATGGTTACTGCGGTCCATAGACATCCACATCTATCCTCGATTACAAATTAAAATGCAGATGCGTTGTCACCCGTGAGTATTAAGATGGAATGCCTCGTTTCCAGTAAAAAGGACCTCCGGTTCTCTACACTCACCATACGAAACGCTGCTATTTCACGGTGGTATTCTTTGATTCTGTGAGAGCGTGGTCCTTCCCCGGTCGAGAAGACCCATTCGTGCTACAACTATACTACTAATATAACAGCAGCATGGCTCTACCACTTATAAAACGGTATAAAACGCGCATTTAATAAGCACCATTTCAATTTTGCATTCAATATCTACAAAATTTTAATATTATCAGGCACTCGACGTCATGAGTTTACTGCCACAACGCTGTGATCGCTTCCTGAAGCGGTGCTTTTTTGAACAAAAAATATACCCATGCGAAGTTCTCTTTGATTCTATACTAACTCAAAATGGCATGTGCTGTATCTTCAATAGCATCTATTATTTCAAAAATAACAAAAGGTACGTCACTTACATATATACTTTATGTCCCTAAGTGTTGCCTAAATTCTCAGATTATAGAGACTTTTTTTCTATAACCTGAGCTTAAAGTGAAATCTTTTACAAAATGAAGTATTTGTTTAGTTTATTGGAACACGGTGGACATTATTTTATACTTGTTAAATTTTGTTATTTCAGAAATGAAAGAAAAGCTAATTTCATAAAGTTCAAAGCTACGAAGGCGGACTTAGAGAACTCGTTAACTGTAGTGACGGATTACGACCCTGAAGATGCTGTGGAAGGCACTGTACTCTACGCAGGATCCTCAAGAGTAATATGCTAATTATTTTCATCGATCGTTATCATCTTCATAATTACAGCCCATCTCGAATGGTACGGGGCTGCTACTCGAGAACCTTTCTTCCACTTTGATTGTCGGTTCTTCCAGCTATATGGCCGATCCATTGTCACTTCAGTTGCTTACTCTGGTTCTACCGTTTATTGCCATGGCCTATGATCAATTAAATTACCTAATAACCTGATAGACTGTCTAAGGATAGTTAACATCTGTGAAAGTGGGAACTTTGTCATTCTACATGAATAGCTCAGGAGCAGAGGACCTTACTTGTGATGAGTAGACGCTATTGTGATAGACTGTAAATATTAAGATGATGATACATCAGAACTTATATTTTTACATGGTAAGGCATGCTGCATCTGTATTTTGGCTATAGTACGAATAATGGGTTGGTTTAACTGGTAAAATTAAGCCAACCCAATCGCTTGCAACTTTACAAGGCGCAAGCTCGGCCTCATATGGAATACTGTTCTCATCTCTAGACCGGGACACGACAGTGCCAGCTCCTTCCACATGACCGCATCCAGCGCAGAGCGGCTCGAATCGTCAACCACCGAGTTGTTTCTGATCAGCTCGATTCACGCTGCGAAGGGATCTTGCATTCCATTACATTTTCTATCGCATCTACCAAAGGGAGTGCCTGAGGAATTGTTCGGATAAATTCCAGCCGCCAAATTTCACGAACGCACATTGCGTCAAAACTCACGAAACCATCCACACCATCTGGATGCTCGGCGGTCCACCACTGTGCGTTTTACTAGGAGTTACCTTTCTAGTACAACCTCTCTGTGGAATTGTTTAACACCGGCGGCATTTTTCTGGACCGATACGACTTAGGTACCTTCAAGAAAAGAGCTTAATCCTTTCTAAAAGGCCGGCAACCCACCTACATTTCCCCGGTGTAAAGTTGTTCATGGGCGGCTGTCGTCACTTACCATCAAGTGAACTGCATACTCGTTTGCCCCCTCTTCTATAAAAAAGTGCCACGTTCTCTCATTAGGCTAGCGTAAAAAAACAATACTATACTGCTATTTCGTATCACAAACGACAAGAGCGGGAGACACACAACTATACGGCGATAACTTTCTATTATTATTATGGCTAACGAGTGAGTGACAACGTATCTACATCTTGATATTAATTTACACTTGCGGTTGTCATTACTTGATGAAACTCTATCTTCTTTATATATAAAGTTAAAGTTACAGCCTATATACGTTCCACTGCTGTGCACAGACCTCCTCTCATTTCTGAGAGGATTTTAGGGCAAGGAAGTGTCCGCCGCGTTGCTCCAATGTATATTGGCGAACTTCACATGTCTTTGAACTTCTTTTTCTTATTTATCAGACATGCAATTTCCTCACGATGTTTTCCTTCACCGCCGAGCACGTGGCAAATCAGCACTTAAAATTGAAATTAACAATTTCATTGGTCCCGGCGAGGATTGTACTTGGATACAATATTTATTTTATAATTAATTATATTGTTAATATACTAACCACAAAAACCGACCGGTTTCGCCTCAAGACATCATCGGGTATAAGAATTACGAACACATTTTAGTTTCATAACACATTTTAGTTCATGACACAGGCAAGATGTAGGTAAGTACACGCTGGGGCGTCCATTTACCATCAAGAGAACTGCCTTCTCAATGTCACCCTTACCCTAAACAGGTACCTAACCAAACTAAATAGAGTGGTTATCGAAGCTACAATACTCGCGTTACAGGTGATGTTCACTGATTGGACGGAGTTCCCCGCGAACGATGAATCGAACCTTGTACACCCGAACACAGAATCCTTTCACAACCTTTACGGTATCTATACCTACTGTTCTGAAGATGTACAGCAACTTCCTGTCTCAAAGTAAGCTCACAAATTAAAAATTTATAAAACATCTTTATACATATTACACCAGCGACCCGCCCCAGTTTTCGCCTGGGAAATGTTAATGTGACGTTATTTAAATTTAAGATAATAAAGTTTTGGATTTTTCCAGAAAAAAATTCCATGATTTTTATATAAAGCAACCAAGATCACTCCTGGCATTGCTTTCTATTTGTTCGTGAAACTTCATTACAATCGATTGAGCCATACCAAAGATTAGCTCGGATCGACAGAAAGACAAACAGACAAAAACTTCAAAAATGCAGCGCAAATAAAGGCGGTTAAGATATTATACAGATATTATACAGTTTTATGTAATTGTATAGATACTCGTCGCTACGTCTGTTAGTGATCGCGTAATTTCTACAGGACAAATCGTTTAAGTTCTTGAACGTTTGAAGTCATATTCACACAATATATTTATTTTATCGAGATGGCTCATAGCTATGCAAGTATCCGGTAGGTATAGAACCTATATTGACCAAAATGACTTATATTCACAACTTATGTTGATTTATTGCACATAACTGAACCTGATAAGCGGCGCTGTCTGCACCTCCTACCAGGGATTCTCATTTTTAAACTTTAGTAATCTATTTTAGAAATCTATGTATATTTAAAAAGAAACTTCTACAGAAGGTTCATCATCAAATTAGCTCCATGATACCACATTATTGCATTGTCATCAAAGTTACATAAGTATGCCTTTTCAGCTCAATTGGATGTCAGCAAGTCTTCAAAATTGATTGCATATTTTGAACCGGAATTACTGACCAAAAGCAAGATAAAAGTTTGTAAAAACACGAAAAATACGTTTGATTTGACAAACAAAATGGTTATTTGTAACGTCGAAGAAATTATATATATATATAATATAGTAACGTAATTAACGCACACCCTCAGACACCCCAATTAGTATATTATGTTATAATCATAATACATACACTGAATTTTTAGTTAAACATTTTTATGCACTGATTATTTATCAAATTAGTTATACTTACTAATTCCGGAAGAATGTTGTGGTCACAGTACAAATCCACGAATGCAAAGACTTTAACGTGCTTGAAATAAAGTTCGTTTTCTTTTATTGAATGACAGAATTAGTAATAATACAAAAAATAAAACTGCACTCTTAAAAGTCAAAAGTCTTATTGCCTTAAGTTACGGTCCATTTCAATTTGTTTTGACTGTGCAGTTTTAATGTGACTGTAATTTACGTAGTTTTAATTATTTTTGGGATAAAAATTACCTATATTAAAAATGATAGGAATCGATTCAGTAAACGATTCTGAACAAACTACTTTCTCAAAGTGCGTTAATTATGTTACATGTTGTGTGTATATATATATATATATATATATATAAATCAATTGTTGTCTGTTGGTCTGGGTAAAAGTTGAAAATAGCTGCATCGATTATGATGAAATTTTTTTGAGCTTGCGTAGGTCCCATGGTGGTCCACATTTACAATTGGACCCGGTTGATGGTGCTGATGTCTACATCAAAAAATCACCGAGAAACCGGGGCGGTCGCTAGTTACTTATGTCTTTAATTTTATTTATATATTTATTCATAAATTTTATTATTAAAGAATCAGTTTTTTGTGCAGCCGAAAATGTTACTTCACCAAGGAAGTTACTCTGCCATATTTTAGAGAGTACCACAACTCGGACTGCGACCTTGCGTGCTTCATTAGCGAAGTGGAGGCTCTATGCCACTGTACGATGATATACGTGCCTCGAGTGAATTCCCACCGTGCCTGCAATATCACCAGCCTAGTCTGCATTGCGAAAGTTAAAAGTACCTACACTCGTATATTATTTAAATAACTTGAGTTTTATTTTATAAATAAATTGCAACTGCAGTCCATGAACACCGGAAACCGACTCCAAACAAATGTTACGAGCTTGAGGTTCGTGACAATAAAAATTGCCGATAGAATTACCTAAATTAACACTTTAATTCACTTTACACTAATTAAAGTTAAAAACACTAGTAATTAATCACACTGATTCACTTTATTCCGCTCCGAAGCTTCGCTTGGCTCGCCAACTTCAATACTCCCTCGATCGCATCTTGCAGCGCCTATTTATATAAATTAGCAGCGAAATATCCAGAATATTCAAGTAAACACGCGCGAGGTACCGAGAGTTCGTGTTTCGACTTCAAGAAGTTTAGTTCTTCGGCTCGAGACTAGATGGCGCTAGTGCCGTCGACTTGAGCGCGTAACACAAATAACTAAACTTTAGATACGTTATCACCTTTGAGGACTAAAATACAATAAAAAGCATTGCACTTTACAGCACGTATTAGGTAGACTGGTTTTCCTTACACTCGAGAACAAAACACAGCAGTGTGGGCACTTCTACTTAACGGCAGAAATAGGTAAGAGGTTACATAGCGGGATTCATAGACAAAAAAGAGCTACCATCTAGTGTGCGTTCAATAGTTTTTAGTGATCAAGGAAAGTCAAGAGAATTTTATAAGTTTTGGAATAGATTTGAAATTGAACTATAGCTGTGGCCTCTGTGTTCTGTAGCCGGTTGATATTTTCTTTATAGGACAGGGTGACAAACGAGCACACAGTCCACCTGATGGTAAGTGGTTGGCGTAGCCCACAGACATCTACATCAATCCTCGATCATGAATCAAAATGCAGATGCGTTGTCATCTGTGAGTACTAAGATGGAACGTTGTAATGTGATGGAAGTTGGCTCAGCAGCGTTAAGCTGTTATTTTAGACTGGTACTCTGTGAGAGCGTGGTGTATCCCGGTCGAGCCGATCCGTTCCGTGCTACAACTATACTACTAATATAACTGCAACATGGCTTTACCACGTAAATAATTAGCAATAATAACTGAGTTAGAGTCATTCTATCTAACTCTTTAAGGGTAATAATAATAATATATTTATGTCCTTCTTTCAATTTGAAGTTTGAAGACATATCCTTAGGATGTAATTTGTAAACTTACACCAAGAACTGCGAATTCGGTGTCAGTCATAAAAGATACAAAAATGGCAATTCACTGAACCGTGAACCTGAAGTAGCTGGAATAATGACAGAGCTTATCTTTGTATTGATGACACGTAAA